ACAACCGAGGGTCTGCCAAGGGCATTGAAGTCACTCAGCGTCGAGCTTCCAACGCTGATAAATTCTTTAAGGCGCATTCGGCAGGCTATTGACGATGGTAGGGTTTCTCAAGAAAGCCAGGAAGCGTTGGAACCACTTATCAAAGACTTCGAACTTCAAATTCAGGCTCTGTCAGATATCATATTCAAGATGCGCCCGCGGGTCAACTCAAATGCGTCTCGCAATCTCAAAGCCGTTACAAGCTTTCGTTATGACAGCGAAGTGAAGCACATAGAAGGTGTAATCAGAGGCTATGTGTCGACATTGACATTGGAGTCTGCTATCGCAGCTGATAACAGAGGTGGCGCAGGTATGTTGGCGTCGCCCATGATAGAACGTGGGCTTCATCGATCTAACAAACAACAACTTGCAGTTTCACAGCCACTTCTGACGCCGAGATTCATCTGTCCTTTTGGCAAGGATGTCGACTTCATCGAGAGATCTGTGCTTGCTGATCTCCTTGTTTTGAGGGGACCTGGATCGCGACATGCGCTTGTGGGAGCAGGCGGCATCGGGTACGTACACAACCACCCGGCTGAACTATCTACAGCCTTCGCATTCCCCGTTGCCCAGCACGGCAATTTGCAGCAGCTAAAATTGAGAACAGAAAGTCACAGATTGCAATTGAGTACGGTTACAGAGTCCAACGAGACTTTCCAAACACATGGGTTTTCTGGATCGATGCGGAGAATATTACGAAGATGGAAGAGAGCTATCGTGAGATTGCCAGAATTTTGCGCATCAATGGCGCAAGCGACAAGGACGCGGATGTCTTTGGTCTCGTCTACGATTGGCTGCGCAACGAAGCGAATGCAACATGGTTGATGATCATCGACAACGCGGACGACAAGGACGTCTTCAACCGTCTACCGCCGAAATACAAGGGATCCGACCAGTCCAAAGAGATACGAGAATTCATACCGCAATCTTCAAATGGCTCAGTCCTAGTCACGTCGAGAAGCCGAGACGCTGCTTTTCAGATCACCTGCAATTACAAAAACATAAAGCATGTGGAGCCAATGAGTGAAGCAGAGGCAATCGCGCTCCTACAAACGCATCTAGAAGATAGCCACGAAGATGAGGACAAGAGACTACTTGTTGAGACTGTCGACTACATCCCGCTCGCAATTACTCATGCGGCAGCTTATATCAGCAGACGGTCCTTACCAATACGCGACTATTTACAAGAGCTTAGCACGAAGGATGAGGAAGATTCAAACGCCTTAGAAGAGGATATTCCACAGCTACGTCGTAAGGCAGGGCGTTCCAACTCAATCGTCAAGACATGGAAAATCACATTCGAGTACGTCCGCAAGACCATGCCTTCGGCCTCTAGGCTCTTGTCGCTGATGTGTCTCTTTGATCGACAGGACATTCCGGAGGCGCTTCTCCAGGGGCAATACAGCGAAGTGATACTTTCGTCACGGAACATCCGCAAATCATGGTGGAAGCGACGGCCTCATACGCGCCGAAAGAAAATAGAGCAACAGTCGTTGTCTTGTCCTAAGAGCCTCCCTCGTGACTTTGAGGACGACTGGCTCGCTCTCAGGGATTTTAGCCTGATCAAGATGAACAGGGACAGGAGGCATTTCTCTATGCATCCGCTGGTGCAATTCACGACTAAAAGGTGGCTCGTTCAACATGATGAGCTCGATATCTGGAGTCAACACTTCATACGTATCCTCGATGATAGATTTCACGACTCAGATGACGGTGACTTCAAGAGATGCGAGCCTCTGATCGCACATGCATATGCTGCCATTCCGTACCGGCCATCGAATGCTGCCATACATCCCTTACGTGCATGGGCATCGCTTACCAGGAAGATTGCGCGTTACTACGACCAAAGAACCGGGCTTGAGATAGCGCAAGATCTTTACCGCGTTGCGGCTGAGGCTTTCGAAACTACAGGAGGTAAAAAGACACCCGAAGCACTCAAATGCCGTAAACTGCAAGCACTCCTACTTTTCCAGACAGACAGAAATGCGGAATCGGAAATTCTGTATCGCCATATCTTACGCTTGCAGCAGAAAGCTCTCGGCCATGGACATCTCGATACACTGGATACCATGGATCGCATAGGCGATGTATTATCTTTTCAACGCCGTCGTTCAGAAGCCGAAGCAATCCAAATGCAATCGCTCGAAGTCAGAGTCCGCAATTTTGGTCTTGCGCATCCCAGCACGCAAGAATCCCTTACCAAGCGCGGCTATTTTCTTCTAGCAGGAAGTCGCTATAATGAAGCCTACGTCACCTGGAAACAAGCCTCTGAAGCACGAAATGTAGCACGCGATACTAGCTGGGTCAAGGAATTGGATCTAATCGGGTTGAGATTGCAATTAGATGGTCGATCCGCCGACGCGGAGTATTATCTAAGAGAGTCGCTTTCAGAGAAAGAGCGTATGTTTGGCGAGGACAATGACTCCACAGTGCCCGAAGCTGCTGCAACACTGGCACGCATCTTACTTTCTCAAGAAAAGTACATCGAAGCAGAGGCCCTGCTACGTCGTGCACTTTCTTGGTACGATTCCAGCGAGTTTTACGATAATCCAGAGCGCTTCCAGACGATGAGTGACCTCGCCCATACAATCGCACATACGGACAAACTTGAAGAAGCAAAAGAACTGGCCATAGTTTGCCTTTCATGGCGAACTGAGAGCTTCGGCTCACATGGTCGCGAAACTCTGGAGATCATGTGGATACTAGCCGGAGTACTAGAGAAACAGGGGAGCTTTGTGCGGGCTTTGCAGAAGTATCGTGATACGTATGAAGGTGCGAGACAGACGCTGGGAGAAGCGCATGCGGATACAAAAGACTACAAGCGTGATTACGAGAAGCTTGAGCAGGCTATGTATCAGAAGAGCTCGGCGATATCAGACGAGAACTGGGATGCAGCGACGATAAACTCTGCATTCCATCTCAGTAACGAGAATACAGGTGCAGGGGCTCAGGAACCAGGTGCTGTGCTCTTCGACGTGACCGAATCTGAGAAAAAAGGATATGATGGCACTGTCATAGCAGCTCGATAACCATGGAGAGTATGCATATGCGGAATCAGCATCTCAACGAGTGCTCTATAGAAATCGGAGTGAATAGCAGAGTGAATGCTCAGTTGTTGTTATTACAAAATGTCCGCGCTGCGTCATTCACTGAGCTTTGCGACCCACCCCGTTGACATAATCCCACACTCACGCGCACTTCGCTATACAACATTGAAAATTCATGTCCTGCAGTCCGTATCCTTCTGACTGCGTGATACGAGCACGAGATCTTCAACATCGTCTCTTCCATTCTGCCGCTCCAAACCGCAATCGCATTTTCGCAACAGCGCTTCTCCACCCACTAGTATCACGCGACTAGAACATGGCCTTGCCTACACCGAAAATCGTACCCAAGGCCTCTGCGCTCTTCTTGCCGTACGAGATCGAACTCTACCAACGCTGGCGCAAGTCCGCCTTTGGTATCGCTGTTGAAAACGATGACGATGTCCTCCTACCCACCGCGTTTGAGTACATGGACTTCATGGAGTGGCGCGCCAGACAGTGCTCGAAACTCGACGGGACTCAAGAAGCGGAGAGGAAGTCTCCAGATCCATCATTTTCGGGATATGTATTAGCGGAGCGATGTGGACACCCTCTACATCCTGGAGATCCACGTCCAGATGCTCTAAGACAACCAAAGGACGAAATAGAGGAGGAAGGCGAGGAAGAAGGCGAGGAACAGGATACGATTGCTTGGTGTTCAATGTGTCTTTTGCAGATTCATCTCAAGCTGCTTGCCGAGTTATGGGATAAGTGGTTGAACTCCGGCGGCCCGTGGCGTGTCTTACGTCCCGGCTCCACAGCGGAAGGCTGGCAGATTGCCAAGCGAGCATACTATATGCGGAAGACCAACCTAGTCAACGTTGTCGATAACTTGGAGGATGTCGCGCGATTGGAAGATACCTGGGAGGCTGCGCATCCCGCTGCGGACGTGGAGGTCGTTCGTGCGTACAGCGCCAAGACGGCAGTGGATGTGTATGCGAAGGGTGTTCAGTTTCCTGCACGCGTAGCAGGACCGGATGAAGTAGCTCCCCGAACACCAACAGGCAAGGAACGAAAAAAGCGCCTCTCGTACTCACCAGACACACCGGAGGATACTCGTCATCGCTCTAGTGCCGCTTTCGCTCGACGCTGCCTTGCCTACGACCCTGAGTCACCCCATCGATGTCCTGAAGAGGATGGATGGGCTGAGACATCGTTCAAGAACAGCTGGGAGTACAATGTACGGCAATGTCGCACCCTGCTATGCAACAAATCGCCCAATGAACCCGACGTCACTTACCGCGAACTCGCCGACGAAGCTTCAAAAGATACCCTCATCAACGGCATCGAAGAGTGGCTCGGCAAAATGCAAGATGATTGGAAGCAGCCCTGGGTTGACATTTTGCTGGCTACAACCGAAATGTTTCTTGTCTGGCAAGATCCGCGTCACGACGATGATGCTGACACGGATTTCAACAACTGGGACAGGACTGAGACACTCGTGGGCACCAACCTAGAAGCTTATGCGCGGCAAATTGGCGATATCGACGAGGAGGATGAGACCGAGCTGGTACAAGCAGAGGTGACAGAGGACTTCTTCGACCAGGATTCCGTTGCGTCTGACTCCGACTCCGACTCAGATGAAGACGAAGACGAGCTCCCTGATCCGATGGATCTAGAAGAGGACGAGGAAGTAGCCATCAGTGTAGATGAATAGGAAACGCCAGCTCGGCTACACAGCGCAGACGCTGGAGCAGAATCCTTACCGATGCTTATCCAGTCGACATGTAAATTCTTCAGAGCAAAATGACAAGTAAGGAAATTATGAGATAATCAGCCTTGACATGTGGTAATAGGTATGCAAGACTACTTGTCTCGAACACAAGTCAGGTATCAACGCCCAATAAAATGATAAATCCGCCAAAACGTGCCCGGACTTTACATGACAATACAGCAAGAGTTTTGCTTCTTAGCCTGTGACTGTGTTAGCATGACCGAGCTTTTAGTTGCCAGCTCTTGAACACTCACCTGTGTGTAGAACATCTTGCTCGATGCACTCAGCTCATCACTCTTCTGAACTAGGTTGTCAATCTTCTCTCCTCGCTCCAACACACTCTCGATGGTCTTGTGTAGCACAATCTTGGTCTCGTCCAACTCTTTTTGGATCTTCATTATGCTGTCGGCCTGTTGTGGGTCTTGGTACTTGACGATGTAGTCTTTGAGCTCGGGGTAAGACATGTTGGCTGATTCGGTCGCGTTGGCGAAAGCGGAGCGCGGGTATTTGGAGAGGAACTCGTCGCAAACTTTGGAGAGAAGCTGGTGGGCTACGAGGGAGGGGTATTCGTGGTCGGTGATCATGAGACCGCACACGCCTTCGGAACGGCCGTAGGCGTGGAATGTGTAATCTGGACGCGCTCGATTAGCATATGTCTGCGCATGAAGCGGCTACGCTGATGAAGGACGTACCTGACTCCTCGACATCCTGTCTTTGCCCTGGTAGTGTCCTAGAAGCGACTGTCTTTGCTGTGAATGACATCTGGACTGCTATCAGCTTGTGTCCCTCGGTCCGTGTGACCTGCCACAACTCTGGCTGTGCGGTGAAGGTGACGTACGAACTCTCCGACGCTTCCCCGTGTGAAGCGGCCGAAGCTGGACAGATCGCGCTCGGCGCAAAGTTCGATCGCGGGTTTGGTCTCATTCTTGAGGATCTGTACATGGTTAGTACTCATCCGAGACTGGAAGCGGCGGTGAATGGGCTCCTACACCAATATAGAGGACCTTCATATTGGCGGCGGGTTTATTTTATTCGTGAGGAAGGTGAGTGGTGAGACTGGTAGGGCAAGGTTGTGTAGCTTGTATGCGCGTGGTAGGGTCGTGGAGAAAGGAAGCCTGGAGTCGTGGCCCGAGATAGCACTCCTGGCGCCAGCATGCGTCTCATGGTCGGCGGAACCAGCATGTGGCGCGCTGATTATGTCATGCCGCTAATGCGCGGGGGCGGGGCAGGTCCAGCCGAATCCAGGACACTCACCCATCATCGATTCTGCCAAGCCTGACCCAGAGGCAATCACGCTTTCCATCGTGAAGAGCGCTCCACCGAGCGCACCTGAATCAGATCGACCGCCAACGTTCGGAGAAGTTGTAATAATGTCGCCCTCCGTCGAGGACGCCCAGGCGCAATGGCTCGAGCAGCTCGATGCCATGCGCAAAGCCATCGCCGAACTCAATCTCCCTGCCGATACTGAGAAGGCGCCAGCCTACGGAGACGACCTCGATCTCGATGATGATGACTTCTCTGGAACCGTCAGCGGCGAAGATATCTGGGACATCATCAGCGACGAGTATGAAGAAGAGTTCAGCAGTGATCACCTCGACCAATTTCCCGATGGCCAAGTTGGTGGCGAGGCTTACAGCCAGCAATGGCTCGCAGAGAAATGCTCTTCAGTAGCCCAAAGTGGTTCCGGTCTGGATTCTGGAGCGTTGAAGGAGCAGATCACCGCGATCCTGTCAAGTGACAGCAATGGTGAGGCTTCATGCCAATACTCGATTACTGCAGCATACTAACTATGCACAGACGAAGAGCTACAGATGATGCTCGCAGACATTGTTGGCTACGGAGAGTTGGACCTTGTGGCCGAGCTCATATCGCATCGCAAGGACATCATGCGATCCTTGCATAACCCTACTCCCGCTCAAAGCAATGGTGCCATGGGCCGTTTACAGACCCGAGCCGAACGCGAAGAAGCGTTGCGCCGGGCGGATTGGGAGCACAAGACTGCCGCGTTGGCACCTTCTATGGACCGAACAGGTCCCCAGTATCCTCACGTTTATCGGACTCACGAAGCCGGCAACAAGCTCTCGGCTTATGGCAAGAAGTACGCGCTACCTCCAGATACTGAGCATCGCGACAACAACCTGTATGAAGAATACGAAATCCCCGCAGTTCCGGTAGGTACTGTCGGCGTCGGCCGAAGGCTTCTCGAGATCCAGGAACTGGACGGCCTCTGTCAGCGTACCTTCAAAGGCTACAAATCCCTTAATCGCATGCAGAGTCTGGTGTACCCAGTCGCCTACAAAACCAGTGAGAATATGCTGATCTGCGCACCTACTGGTGCTGGTAAAACAGATGCTGCCATGCTCACCATTCTCAACACCGTGGCCAAGAATGTTGTGCCGAACCCGATCGACGAGCCTGAGGCGACCGACTTTACAGTCATGATGGAAGACTTCAAGATCATCTATGTCGCACCCATGAAGGCGCTCGCTGCTGAGGTCACAGACAAGCTTGGAAAGCGCCTAGCGTGGTTGGGTATCAAGGCTCGCGAACTGACTGGTGATATGCACCTTACCAAAGCCGAAATTCTGGACACCCAGATCATAGTTACCACGCCAGAAAAGTGGGACGTGGTGACGAGAAAAAGCACTGGAGACACCGAGCTGGTACAGAAAGTACGTCTGCTCATTATCGATGAGGTTCACATGCTCCACGACGAGCGCGGCGCTGTATTGGAAAGCTTGGTAGCGCGTACTCAGCGACAAGTGGAGAGTACACAATCACTCATCCGGATTGTCGGTCTCTCTGCGACCTTACCCAACTATGTCGACGTAGCCGACTTTCTCCGAGTCAACAAGATGGCCGGTCTGTTCTACTTTGACGCTTCATTCCGTCCTGTACCTTTGGAGCAGCACTTCATCGGCGCCAAGGGCAAGCCAGGCACAGCGAAGTCACGTGAGAACGTGGAGAGAGTGGCTTATGATAAGGTCGTCGAAATGCTCAAACGGGGCCACCAGATCATGGTCTTTGTGCATTCGAGGAAAGACACCGTCAAAACAGCCAGGCGATTATACGACATGGCTATGGAAGAACAGTGCACCGATCTATTCGATCCGCAGGACCATCCTCGTTACGAAAATGCTGTACGCGATATGAAGCAGTCAAAGGGCCGAGAATTACGCGAGCTACTTGGAAAGGGCATGGGTACTCACCATGCTGGTATGCCTCGTTCTGACAGAAACCTGATCGAGCGCCTTTTCGCTGAGGGCGTTCTAAGAGTGCTCTGCTGTACAGCGACATTGGCTTGGGGGGTCAATTTACCCGCGGCAGCCGTCCTCATCAAGGGCACCCAAGTTTACAACGCACAAGAAGGTAAGTTCACCGACTTGGGCATCTTGGATGTTCTGCAAATTTTTGGTCGTGCCGGTCGACCCCAATTCCAGGATACAGGTATCGGCTTCATTTGTACGACACACGACAGGCTGGATCACTACATGCGCGCCGTAACTGAGCAACAGCCTATCGAATCCAGATTTTCCGCAAAGCTCATAGACAATCTCAATGCCGAGATATCACTTGGTACAGTGACTACTGTCTCTGAAGCTGTGACTTGGCTCGGTTACTCTTACCTCTTTGTACGGATGCAGAAGAGCCCGCTGATGTATGGCATTGAATGGAATGAGATACGCGACGACCCACAGCTTGTCGGGAGACGTCGAAAGCTTATCATCGATGCCGCACGAATCTTGCAGAGAAGTCAAATGATCATCTTCAACGAGACCACAGAAGACCTGCGAGCGAAAGATGTCGGGCGTATTGCGAGCCAGTACTACGTCCAGCAATCAAGTATAGAAATCTTCAACACAATGATGCGACCTCGTAGCACAGACGCGGATGCTCTGGCTATGGTCAGCATGAGTGGCGAGTTCGACCAGGTACAATCACGCGAATCCGAGGAGAAGGAGCTTTCAGCCCTCAAAGAAGAAGGGCATGTGATCACACAAGTCAAGGATGGGTATGCTACTTCGCATGGAAAGACAAACTATCTTCTCCAAGCTCACATCTCGCGAGCACGACTGGAAGATTTCACCCTGGTTTCAGACACGAACTATGTGACCCAGAATGCAGCACGTATCGCGCGTGCGCTATTCATGATTGCGCTTAATAGGCGCTGGGGTTACCAGTGTCAGGTACTGCTAAGTCTTTGCCAATCTATCGAACATCGATGCTGGTCTTTCCAGCACCCACTGCATCAATATGAGTTGCCGCAGCCAGTCTTGCGCGCGCTCGATCACAAATATCCGTCGATACAAACCCTGCGCGAAATGGATGCAACGGAGATCGGAGACCTAGTACATAACAAGAAGATGGGTGGCGTCATCTCAAAGCTCATGAACAACTTCCCAACCTTGAGCATTGAATCTGAGATCGCTCCGCTCAACAGAGATGTGCTCCGCATCCAGCTGTTCCTCACGCCCGACTTCGTCTGGAACGATCGTCACCATGGTACTTCCGAATCATTCTGGATCTGGGTCGAGAACTCGGAAACATCTGAGATTTACCATCACGAGTTTTTCATCCTGTCGCGCCGAAAGCTCTACGATGATCACGAACTGAACTTCACGATCCCACTTTCTGATCCTTTGCCTACGCAAGTATATGTTCGCGCCTTATCTGATCGATGGTTAGGCGCCGAGACTGTCCATCCCATATCCTTCCAACATCTCATTCGGCCGGACACAGAGAGTGTCTATACCGATCTGTTGAATCTTCAGCCTTTGCCGATCGCTGCTTTGAAGAACCCACTGTTGGAGGAAGTATACGCGCAGCGCTTCCAGTACTTCAACCCTATGCAATCGCAGATCTTCCATTGCCTATACCATACACCTGCCAATGTCTTGCTTGGATCGCCGACAGGTAGTGGCAAGACTGTTGCTGCGGAGCTCGCAATGTGGTGGGCGTTCCGTGAGAAGCCCGGCTCGAAGGTCGTATACATCGCCCCTATGAAAGCACTTGTTCGCGAGCGAGTTCAGGATTGGGGCAAGCGTTTAGCTGGGCCAATGGGCCTCAAGCTTGTTGAGTTGACTGGTGACAACACTCCGGACACACGCACAATTCGGGATGCCGATATTATCATTACAACGCCTGAGAAATGGGATGGTATCAGTCGTAGCTGGCAGACTCGTGGATACGTTCGGCAAGTCAGTCTAGTCATCATCGACGAAATTCATCTACTGGGCGGTGACCGTGGGCCAATTCTGGAGATCATTGTCTCTCGTATGAACTATATCGCATCACAGAAGAAAGACGGGTCAATCCGTCTTCTTGGCATGTCCACTGCTTGCGCTAATGCGTCCGATCTTGGAAACTGGCTTGGTGTCAAAGAAGGCTTGTTTAACTTCCGCCACTCTGTGCGTCCGGTACCGCTGGAAATCTTCATCGATGGCTTCCCGGAACAGCGAGGCTTTTGCCCGCTCATGCAATCGATGAACCGACCTACTTTCCTGGCAATCAAAGCTCACTCACCGGAAAAGCCAGTTATCGTCTTCGTAGCCTCCCGTAGACAGACTCGTTTGACGGCTCGCGATTTGATCAACTTTTGCGGCATGGAAGATAACCCAAGACGCTTCCTTCACATGTCTGAAGACGACTTGGCACTCAATCTCGACCGAGTAAAGGATGACTCATTACGCGAGGCACTGAGCTTTGGTATAGGCCTGCATCACGCCGGTCTTGTCGAGACTGATCGATCGCTCTCAGAAGAACTCTTCGCGAACAACAAGATTCAAATCCTAGTCGCCACTAGTACACTTGCATGGGGCGTGAACTTGCCAGCCCATCTTGTCGTAGTCAAGGGTACGCAGTTCTTCGATGCCAAAACAGAAGGGTACAAAGATATGGACCTCACGGATGTGCTGCAAATGCTGGGTCGTGCCGGACGTCCTCAGTTCGATGACTCTGGTATTGCGCGTATATTTACGCAAGACGCCAAGAAAGAGTTCTACAAGCATTTCCTGCATACTGGATTTCCCGTCGAATCGTCTCTGCACAAGGTGCTGGACAACCATTTGGGCGCCGAAATCTCTGCAGGTACTATTGCTACAAAACAAGACGCGCTCGATTACCTGACCTGGACTTTCTTCTTCCGCCGGTTGCATAAGAACCCGTCATTCTACGGATTAGAGATTTCAGCAGAGGAGCACAACACGATTGCCGCGCAGTCCTTGGCCAACGACTATATGGTCAAGCTGGTGGAGACCTCCCTCAGTGAACTGGACGAGTCCTCTTGCGCTATTGTCGAGCCTACAGGCGAAGTTGACCCAACACCACTCGGCAAGATTATGAGTTACTACTACCTCAGCCACAAAACGATTCGCTACCTTGTGAAGAATGTCAAGCGCGACGCAACCTTCGCCGACGCTCTATCATGGATCTCTCACGCCACCGAATACGACGAGCTGCCTGTTCGCCATAACGAAGACCTCATCAACGCCGAGCTTTCGAAAGCCCTTCCTATTTCCGCGGACGACTTCGGCCTACCCCTGTGGGACCCTCACGTCAAGTCATTCCTACTTCTACAGGCGCACTTCTCGCGGATCGACCTGCCAATATCCGATTATGTCGGTGATCTAAACAGTGTGTTGGATCAGAGTATCCGTATTGTACAGGCATCGATTGACGTACTCACTGAACTGGGTTACCTCTCTTCATGCGAGACAATGATCACGATCCTCCAAGCTATCAAGTCAGCGCGCTGGCCAAATGACGGGCCGTTATCGATATTCCCAGGCGTGGAAGTTGAGAGTGAAAAGAAACGTCTCGAGCACCCTAAGGCCAGTCCGAAAAATCTCATTGAGACAACTACCGCATCGCCCGCGGTGCTTGAACGTGCAGCCAAGTTCGCTGGAGTCACACCTACTGGAATTAAGCGTTTCATCGAGCCAGTCTCTCGTTTGCCCGTACTGAAGCTCGACCTGGGCAACGTCAACGCGCTCGCCTTGGATTTCAAGATCTCTCGCCAGAACCCGGCTAGAATGCAACAAGGCGGTATACGCATCTTCGCACCACGCTACCCCAAGCCGCAGACGGAAGGCTTCTTCGCTATTGTCTCGTACTCTAGTACTGACGAGATCATCGCTCTGAAGCGCATCAACTGGCCCGACCCCAGTAAGAATGGCAATCGCGGACGGGGTGGACGCGGCGGAAATGCATCTGGGGGCGCACAGTCGAGATTGCAGGCTTCAGCCAAGGTGTCATTGCCGCCTGAGGCACAGGGCAAGAAGGTCGACATCAGCGTGCTCAGTGATTCGTACCCCGGTATGAAATGGAAAATTGGGGGTATTGATGTACCTGAGGCGCCTATTGTGGACGCTTATGGAAAGGGGAAAGAAAAGGCGTAGTGTTGTAGGTCGCCCGCCAGGCCATGACAATTCAAAGTTCAAGTATATACAATTATGACGCCTGGATATAACAGTTGATATGATTCATAACAATAGTCACTGCACTGTCTCATCATTCTCCCTTTCCTCTCTCTCCCTTTCCTCTCTCTCCCTTTCCTCTCTCTCCCTTTCCTCTCTCTCTCTTTCCTCTCTCTCCCTTTCCTCTCTCTCTCTTTCCTCCCTCTCCATCCGATCAAGATCACTTTTATAGTCCACAACATCAACATGCTCTTCTCCCAACAAACGCCTCCCTTGTTCGTACGCCGTCTTATACAAAAGCATCGCATCCGCTCTTCTCCCGGCCTTTTCCACTGCAAACCCCAACGTCCACATACTCTCCACCGTCTCCTGATGTTTCCTGTCTAGATGGGTTTCCCTCGCTTCCAACGTCCTTTCTGCCACTTCCTCCGCTTCTTGTACAGCAGCAGGCGTGGCTTGACAAGCCAGACTGTATGCAAACTCGTTGGATATCTGCAACATCTTGGGATGGTCTCCAGGGAGAAAGCGTGCGTATCCGTCCAGTGCTCGCCGGAAAGACGCTCCTGCGTCTGCATACTTGTGTTGAGCGACCAGCGCTCTCGCGATCCTGACAAGGGTATCGCACACCTTAATATCGTCGTGGGAGAGTGTGCTTTCTTTGTAGGTGAGCGCTTCGTTGAGGCGCTTCAAAGCTTCCTCAGGTCGGTCAAGCGTGTGAAGCTTTAGACCGAGAAGTTCAAGGTTATGGCACCACTCGGCATCATAGACGTTGGAAGGTGTATTACGATGCCTGAAGGCGCCTTTCCATGCTGTGTAGGCTGATTCGTGGTAACCTTCAGAGTGGAAAACGTATCCAAGTGCATCGGCGTGCTTTTGAATTGAGGCTGAGCTGAAGAAGCTAGGAAGCCAGTTCCAGGACATGGTATCTTTTGGCAATGATGCGCGAAGGGCAGCGCCACGATGAAGGGATGCGTGGGATTGACTTGCAATGAAGCTTTGAGGATGAAGAGAAAAGAGTCATAGAGATGGATCAGGCGTGTCAGAACAATGAATTTTTGTCATTGACGATAGATGAGTGTCTTTTCGATCACTCACATGTATGCTATCAAGTCCGCCGCTGCTCTTCACGTCCGCGCCGCGCGACATCTGCCAGCCTTTGTTGGAGACCTGTTTGTATGCTTTGCCTCTCTATCCTCCCCCCCGACACAGTCCTTCGTGCCTCTACTTCTTATCTTGGGTATATGTACATGATTCGTAGCGATCGCTTCGTGTGAGGCTGTCTTTGGGTGGCCGCGTAGCGATGAGTGTATGAGGTAGATCGCTGTGGATCAGCTCAGTCGTCGCCAAAGACGATGAAGCTCGCTTCTTCCTCAATCTCGAAGTATGCGCAGTCACTGTCACTGAATTCGCTTTCGCAGTCAGAGTTGTCCTCGTCAGAGTCAACATCTTCCCAGTCACTGTCTCCATCATCCTCCTCGATCTCGCAGGTTGAGTCAAGGACGGCTTGTGACTCCTCTGCCTCAAACCGCGAAGTAATGTTGCTTGACTCGTCTGTTGAGCCGACATGATGTATCTTTCCGTGAGAGTAGTCTTCCGAATCCTCTGAGACATCATCTTCTTGTTCCCCTTCCTCAACAACTGTGTGTTTCCCAGGCTCGTAGCGCGGCGATCGCCTATGGAAGTACGGATTGGGTCGACCGGGCTCGAAATCGGTGTCCGGGGCAAAGACAACTGCAGCCTGTTTGTTCGATCGCGGTCGCTTTTCTAAGCAACCCGTAGTCTCTGACCAGTATAGCTCCACGGCCTTCGCTGCGGTTCGCACGTCTTCGTGCGCGACCTCTGGATGCTGCGCAGACCATGAAGCTTCTTCTTCGGCCATGAGCTCAAGTCTCGATAGCTCCTTAAGTGTGCCGATCTTCCCCTTGCACCAGGCTCGGTAAACGGTGTGTTGGTGTTCTGAGCTGGTGAGTGTACAAGATGGCGCGCAACCGCCTGCGCTTTCGAGAGCCTCTGACAATACATTCATGTATCTGATGTGCAGGTCGATGATACAGACGGGACATCGTGATTGTAGCTGGCCGGCTGCTATAGGGTGCATAGGATGCTGACATATCGATGCGACTGGCGATTCGAAGGAGAATGACGTTTCCGAAGAACGTCCGTGGGTAATGTGACCGGAGATGTCGTCAAATGGGTCTGAGAAGTATCCAGAGTCTTGTCGTTTCAACCACTGGTGGAAGTCTTCATATTCGCGTGCTGTGGGGATGTAGCCTTGCTCAGCTGGCCTAGTATTCGTGTGCAAACATTGCCATCGCTTGTACTGCTTCAGCTCGCGGGGCGGCATGATGACGCTCGCGGGTATCTTGGTGCAAGCCATGGTGGCGTCGTGTGTTGCGTGGTAAGGGCAGGTCAGTGACCTGCAGGTAGAGAGCCGGACTTGTGGTGCCGTAGACGTGTCGCGGGGCGATGGAGATTGACTGCTGTTGGTGTGTATGCTAGGAGTGTTCACAGTCTCGTCCGACAGATGTAGTGCGTGTCCAGGTGGTCCCTGAGGAAAGTCACGGGTGCAGCACTACCACGGTTGAGCGGTTCGTTTGCGGGGAATGTGACCGCTGGTACCAGGGAAACTCTCGGTTGCGCAGATGTCTTTTGGACGAGCCTCTGTTCGTTCACTGCTGCAAGCACGGTCGTGATGTTTGTGCGCGCGCTGTGAAGGGTGGAGGCGAAGATTGTTTCGGATCGGTTGGACGTCCTTTGTCACAAGTTGCAACTAGTGAGCGCGACTGTCGCTGCGTTTCCGCTTGTAACGCTCTCCCTGAAAGTCTGACGTCTACGCCAGGAGGCTATAGGTGTATAGAGATGTTCAGAGTGGCAGTGTCGCGCTCAGACGCGGTGACCAGTGCGGACGTCGTCGCCCAACTTCGCGATCTTGGGGAGATTGGAGTACCAGAAAAAAGCCATGATTCTCGGGCAGATATAATCCATTCCTGTCGCTTTGCTGGGTGGAGTGGAAATTTCGCAAGGTGTCGCGCGGGGGTTGCCGTCGACTTGGGCCGGCGTCGGGTGCAGATGTGGGGGAGGGCGGCTGCTGTGAAGAAGAAGGCGGGGCAGACGCGTCTGCTATGAATGACTTGTTGAGGCGGCTCTCTGCTGGGCTTCACTGTCGATCGCGAGTAATATCGCGTCTTCAGTGTGGGTAGGGGCGTAGGGGCGTGTGGGTGTGAAAGGGTCAGCTTTCGTGGGCTGGGCTCGACACTATCGAATGGACGGTGCGGGCGTTTCGTCATGACCCCCTGACTCATTTGGTTCGCGCTAGTGCAGATTAGCGCATCATCCTGTCGCTGAGCTCCTCAGCCACACATACGCCACACCACCTCAGACTCACGAATAGCTTCATCACCAGACAAGACATGACTACCTAGGTATGTGATTCGCATACAAAGCTACTGCAACAACGCCTATGGTATCAAACATTCCTAGGTCTAGCTCAGCGGCCTCGCAGCCCTCGCCATGAAGCACTGAATCTGGCCCACCTCCTCGCTTGGTAGCTCAATCTCGAAGTTTCCCTGCAGCACCTCAAAGCGGAAACCGACCAACCCAGCCTCCCGCATCATCGATGCCATGTCACTTTCCTTCTGTTGCGTATGTTTCGCTTTGCCTGTCTCTTGCACAGCTTCGCTTACAACGTAGCTGTACAGATCCTGAATGAGAAGGACGCCTCCAGGCTTCAGCCTCTGCCCTAAGAGCCGGAGAGCGTCCTTTGCAGAGGGGAAATGGTGCAAAGCTGCGCCGACTGTGATGAGGTCGAAATCTCTATACTCTTCGCTGTCGAGCGAAGAAGGCTCGATCGGGTCTGACAGCAAGTTGCCGACCGTGCCCGCAATCTTTTCGCGTGTAAGGCCGAATGTGTCTATGTTGTTGATGTACTTCTCAATCATGGCAGGAGATACATCAACTGCGTGTATGGAAGATACGTATGGACCGAATATCTGATTTACGATCAACGAGGGACCTGCGTATTGTACGCGAGTGTACGAACTTTGCTCTGCAGGGAGGTACGAAGTCAGTATATGTCTCACATGCACTTCGTACAGCTAGAACTTACCATGAACCCGGGCCCGCACGCATAGTCCAGCATGTGCACTGCCTTGCCCGTTCCTGTGCCACCCGGAGGCTTAGCCCAGTCGATGCCTACAAAAGCGATCCCATCGACAATTACACAAGCAATTTGTTGACGGCTGGCCTTGTTTATTGGGCGCTCTTCAAACCAGTCTGACACCTGCCTGACACGCTTTTAGCTGATGCATTACTGCAGCGTCTGCGGATGGTACAACTCACCCTGTGTCCTTCTCGTGGTGTTGAGCTGACATATTGCTCAAAGGTCTCGCGACACAACGTGATGCTGCGCCTTCCTGTGTGCTTCGCGAAGCGTACTTTATACAAGTCATGTTCCACTGAATGCTCCATGAGCACCCCTTTGGATTTGCGCTGGCTTGCAATAAGTCTCCGGCTTCATAGTCGTCGGCGACTTTCAGAAGCACGCTCGGATACATGATGCCCTTAACGAGGCTACAGAAAAACATCCGGATAGAGACATAGCGTACTGTTGGAGCCTCGCTCATCCTGTACCTGCTCTTATGTCCCACATTCCTTATTGTATCCGCTTTGGTGCGCAAATAATGTCGTACGTTGCTGATAGCATCCAAGTTGACAGGGTGAGCATCGCCAGGTCGGCTCTCCACCAGACGATCAAATCACACATGTTGTGCACCAACCGGTGAGCCAGGTCTACCATTGAGTCACCACACCTCGTGGAACTCAAGCCTACCACGATTAGCTCAGCCCGAAATATGGTTCGAACGCGCAGCGCGGACTTTCCGAACAGCCGCAACGTTGTGTATCTGGGTACGTACACCTACCCAACCAGTCACAGCGGCCTTCAGATTAGTCAGTGAGCCCTCGGATATCGGCTTTCTCGGTGAGATTCATAGCGTTGCACATCGGTTGAGTGCATACTCCTCTACCCACTGCTAAAATGCGACACCAGGTTCTGGAGGTTCAGTTGCGGGGTTACCGGACGCTCCCGCACGACGCTGCAATCTAAAGGAAGACCTCGCCATCTGACCCACCACACCTGTATAACGAACGAACGATTTTGTCTCCTCCAGCTGACATACTCTCGGCTTTTCCGGGGCAAGCGAGATGGTATTGAGCATGACTGGACCCAGCAAATCACGAACCTAATATTAGTTCTGCTTTCAGCCCGACCCTAGCCCAGGGCTGAACTTTGGCTGCTACCGAAAGCCACAAAGCTGCATCTCCGACGAGAAGGTTATATTCTCGCAATCGAAGCAGACGGACGCATATATCTTGCGATACAGGTCTGTCGTGAGAGCAGTACTGTACAACTGTTTTCTTGTTGAATCTTTGGGGCTATGGAGTGCTTACGGTAGACATTCAGCGGCTGAAGAGAATCAAATGTTCGGCTCCATTGGCATCACTATGCGCGCGATCGAACCATAACTAGCATTCAACGAATGATAATGTGTTCGCTGAATGAACTCTGAATGCGGTGGTGCTGACAGCAAGCCTCACGAACCCCAATTGGTCCTTGTCATGACTAGGTACATGCTAACTGCTAACTGCTGTGCTTACTGTTGTGCGGTAGACATGCCCTAACCTATGTCCGGATGATCCACAAACCTAGAAGCACTCAGGCGCGCTCAGGTATGCATGCTACCCTGTCTTTACCCGTCAGCACTTCTCTTGCATTTTCTAGAGGCGCAGCCGCATTTGGAGCATGTCTCTTGCCCACCCGGGCAGGCTCAAAGCTAGTGAACTCGCTGTTCCGTCAAGATTCCGATCCACCCTTCATACCTAGTACCTTCTATCAGGCAAAATGGATCGACGTGAAGAATACCGCGAGGACATGAGCAGTCCCCGAAGCTATGCCGATAGCCAGTGGAGCCCACCTTCGCACTTCCAGGAACACAATCAGATATACCCAGTCGATGATTCTTCACAACGCTACCCCAACTCGAACACCTCGCCAGCAGTCTCACCCCCACTACCATATGAACAAGAGTACCACCAGTCTCCACAGCCGCAGAACTACGAGGCATACAAAGAAGGGTAAGTCTGATCTCTCCCATTGTCTTTTCCAATGTATTTGTCACACCGCACGGCCGCTTCTTGGCCCATGATCTAACGCTATAGCAGGTATTCGACAGAGAAAGAGACTCCGTATAGCACACTCGACCCAATAGGCACGCCTACTCCAGACTTCTCCGGACCTCAAGTGTATGTGCCCTGTACTAACTACTTGTGATACACACACTGACTTCATCCACGAATGTGCAGAGTGCCCGGCCAGTTCAGTCACTACCCTCATGGAGGCCGACCAATGTCACCTTCATCGCATGGAGGCACTACCATCACGTCTCCAAACATCCGGCCCTACGGTTTCAAAGAGCATGTCGACTCGTATGAGAGTTATCATGAACCTGCCCATCCAGTGCCACCAAAAGACGATCGAAGATGTGGCATGAAGAAGCGCACTTTCTTCATCCTCATTGGTCTCGGTGTTCTTGCACTCATCGGTCTTGGCTTGGGACTCGGTCTGGGTTTGGGTCTAAGGAAGAAGGAGTCGTAAGTTTCAACAAGTGTACTTCTTCATGCACTCCTTATTCTAACGCAACGCAGACATAAGGACATTGTTCATCCTTTCTGTCGCGATAACCCAGAATCATGCATCGGCGGTTCTCTCAACGCCGAGTATATGTCGAAAAAGGGTGTATTCAGTGAGTACATATCTGTAAGGTGAATGTGAAATGCACACTAACCTTGTATCTACTTCCTCCCAGACGGCACTGGTATCGCTCTAGCTGGAGAGTCGTGGAATAAAGGCCAACGACGAATCTTCACGCTCTACTTCCAGCATCATACAGGCGACATCCGATTCATGCAATATACCACAGATAGGCAATGGATTGGTGGAACCAAAGCTCAGACTGTGGCCAGTGATGCAAAGGACGCATCGCCCATATCCGCGGTCGCGTTCGCCATCAATGAAACCCAATTTGTGAGTACTCTGAAACTGACTTTGACCCCTTCTTAGTCTTCTTCTCGAGTAGATGTACTAACTACGAGTAGTTCCACATCTTCTACATTGACAAGAACAACACAGTCAAGCAACTGACGCAAACCAACGTCACCGACATCTGGGAGCCCGGACCACTCAGCGACCTCAACCTCAAAGCATTCGACTCGCCGACCACTGGGCTGCAGGCGTGCTGGAAGGGTGACTTCTATGGTGACACTGACTTTACAGAATTCCCCACCGCTTCTGGTCTAAATAACACAGTCCCATTTACAGGACGAAAGGGCATGGTAAGTTCCATGTTTGTAGAGTTACTTGAGTTGATACGCTGACACCATCATCATTACAACAGAACATCTGGTACGCCATCGACGAATCGACGTTTCAGCAATATGCTTGGTACAGTGGCCAAGCGGAGGAAACCTGGATCGCGACCGATAAATGGTCTGGTTTCAATGGCCACGGCGGCGTCGGCTGCTACAGCTGGGGTGCTGGCTCCACATCCTACGCCATGCTGAACAACAAGGACAACGACGTCGAGTTCTGGTGGAAAGACACGAATGAAAACCTCACGTCCACAGAAACCCATCCCATCAACTCGTGGCAAAACGCCACCATGGGCACCATACAGGACGTGTATCCCATCACGTCGCTGGGCTACACAACATACTTTTACGCACAAATGGCGGATCGAAGTATCAGAGGATACAACGTTACGTACCAAGCCGAGAACACGACGTTCCTCGCAAACGAGACGTTTGCTATTACTAATCCCGCCGGCCCAGTACTTGGGCTTGGGGGTACACATCTCACTGTCACTGCATTTGCTGAGAAGCGTGGGGAGGAGACGGTGTGGGACAGCCTGTATGTCTTTTATCAGACGGAAGGCGATGATATTACGGCTTTCACGCGAGGTATGCTGGGCTTCCCTCCTGATTCAATGCTGTAGTCATACTAATACATCTTAGGATTGGAAGGCGGTGAGTGGAATCAGGGACCCTTGCAGATTCCCGATGAATAGGTATGGAATGGGAGAGCAGGATTGATGACTTTCGCTTCATGTCAGATTACTGGGGTTTTCATTATCGCAGTCACTGCGACGGCTAGTCCTGGGCGTTTGCGCTGGGTACCGGCTGGTACAAACATTCTATATCATGATTTTACGAGCTTCACGACAGAGCGTCCGTGGTCTCTGGGGTTTCCCCTTTGGAAATGTCGTCCCATTATGCAAGTCGTTTCCATTATCCATGTACACAGTACTGTGAGCCCACAGAAGGACGCGGTATTTGTATTGTTGTGGCCTGTCTGAACACACTCGATGCGACTGTCAAGAGTGAAACTAGCTCTTGTCTTTCCAAGCTCCAGCGCCATAACCAGCAGTAGGTAGTTTTCCTGGAAACGAGTATGGTAAGCGACGGAGCCATTGACAGCAGGCGGATGGTAGTCTCGTCAGGAAGCGAGCGCGTCCATCAATCCTTGAGGCGCGTACCTGCAATGTCTTCCTGAGCGTCTCTGATGAGGAAGCTGGAAGCTGTTAGCCTTGGAAACATGTTGACGTGAGATTGTAACTCACTTGTACCACAAAACGGTCGGCAACACCGTACCCAGATGCCACAGGCTGTGCGCATCAACCATGCCCATCCAGGGCGGGAAGTCCAACAGCTCCAGGCTCATAGCCAAGATGATCCAGGCAACACACAGACCCGGCCAGACAGCCCAGGTCCTCCCAATCTTCTGATACTGAACGTAACTGAAGCCGCTCCAAAGCAGGTTGGACACGATACCAACAGCGACATTGGCAGCCATGTTGTACGTGTAATCCCAGGACCAGAGCGAGAGGTACAAGACATGCAACGTATACAACGTAATGCACAGTCCCGTCCAGAGCCTCAGCAAGCTCTGTTTCCTCGGCTCCTTCCTGTCGAGTCGGAACACTCTGATGGGCGCATAGTACAGCCCATACAGAACATTCGCGCCCGCAGCGAAGTAGTCCAGCTTCTCCGTGACCCCAAAGTCTCTGGTATGGAATATCATGCTGAACGTCCAGCTCGCCAGGCCCACGTAGCCAAACCACAGGTAGTATTTCCGCAGCGGGTACGACGCAGGAATCTTGTCGCGGAGCTGCGACATGCCCCAGTCGTGCGCGAGGTAGTTGAAGAGGGAGAAGATGACGCTAAACGGCTCTTGCATGCCCATGAAGCGGTAGAAGGGCCATTTGCCGTGGAATTGGTAGATGGGTTGCATGTAGGGAGGGTCGCGCGCGAGGCGTTGGGTGGTTATGATGTGCTGACACGTGTAGTCGCATTCTGAGGGACAGTCCCAGAGGAGCAGGCGGCGGTGGAAGGCTGCGCGTGTGAGTAGGCGTGGAGGAGGGTGATTAGGGTGGGCATACGTATTGACGTGCCATCTGGACCGCAATTGGCTTCTTTACACACCTGTAGATGAGCAGTTAGTTTTATGTCTCAAGTCGGTGAAGGCGCATTCTCTTTGCTCATGTCTCCAGCCAAAGCGCAACTCCATCTACACGTACCTGAACACAGTCCTTGAAATCGGGCAGTCTGTCACCCAATGAAGCCTGGGCTGCTCCGCACAGCAGAAGCAGAACGGCGAGGGTGTGCCATGCAGAGGCTATTCGTAGCTTCATGGTTCACCGATGTGGGAGGCTGCGGCTGCCATGTGGTTTCGTCTCGTGTTCTCAAGTCGCGTGTCTGCGATGGATCGACAGGGTCTTGGCGGGCCGGTAACTCCGTCGTTTCCCCTGGCACGTGTGATGGAACGACGACGACGACGAATTTCGCAGTGTAGACATTACGCGCAATTATGTTGTCCATCAGAGTTTCCTGGGATGTCCTCTTGACGGGATAGAAGTCAAAAGGTGAGCTGTGGTCTACATTCGAATGAGAGCAAAGGCTAACAAGATCGAAGCGATATAAACTTCTAAAGTCATATAAAATCTATTCCTTTATCTGCAATAGATCGTTCCATGTCTTTTGAAAGGTGCTATCGCGTCGTCCTTCAACATTCAAGATCTCTATTGACTAGATCGACTGTATATAAACATAGTTCGGCCAACAATCGGATACCATTCGGTTTCCACATTCCAACAGCCCCACCTTTGGGCTACCGGTTAGAAGAGGAGTTGTTCGTTTGGTTGGTTTATCGTACGGTGAGGGGCTCATCCCCGCCTTCACCCAACAATCAATACGCTCTGATTCCACAAATCTCCATCAACACCAGTCTTCAAGACTCCAGGGCGTGTGGCTCAGTGGTAGAGCGTTAGTAACCACCCTCTACACTCTTATATGCCTTAAACTGACCTATAAAAAGGTCCGCTTTGCAAGGAATTTCGCGCTAGTCCTAGTGCAGGAGACCTGAAAACAATTGCGGAAGGTCCGGGTTTCGGTAAGACAGTGAATTGAACGAGTTCGAGCACAGTTGCTAACAGAATTGGTAGATCACCCGCCCGTCCATCCCTTTTTGCCCCCGCAGACGACTCGCGTGTAGAATCCTCTATCCGAGTGTCTGGGTATGTCCAGCTCTGTTTTCTTTTTAGTTGATTAGACAATTTTTGCTCGCAAGATATACCGCCCAAAGAGACAGGCGAATGTTGCTGCTCAACGATCCTACCTTTACCGCATCTACTTGATCCAGAGACGCAAGAAGCAGCGTGTAGGGTTATTCATTAGCTGCTTTTGAACTCAAGTTATACGTGCTAAGATCTATACAGCACGTGGAGCCCGTAAGTTGACATATCGTTCATGTGCTCCTGAACACTTTCGCAGAAGATACGAAAGACTCCTTATCACATTCACGCCCTCACTCTACTCCCTCCAAAATATATAGTTCGCTATGCAAAGCCATGTTGATTGACGTGTGTTTCAGCAAACTACCCAAGACACTCGATGGAGCACAATTGTACCAAGGCAAATTTCCACTTCATCGTCTTACATTTAGAGACTCCAACGAACTCAAAGAATGGATGGCTACACAGAGTCAAATCAAAGTGTGTTGGGAACTGTCAGAATTGCAATCATATACATTTTGTTCCCACACCCATCAACCATCAAGGCGGTCAAAGACTACGCGTACGGCACGAACATAATGTACTTTTTGCGTACTTTTCATTCCTGCATTCGCTCTCATGATCTAGCTGAAAAGCATTCGCATTACCACGGAGCTACCAAAGGTGTAGTCCGACAAAACCGTATTCGCCGCCCATGACCCTACGTTGCCTCCTAGAAGACGAGGTATCTACGTCTAAGCCTGGATCGCACGTCCCAAAGCACCGCCAGTGAACTGTTGATTCCTTCCGCCCCGTGGTCCACCTCCGCCGCGACCACCACCACCACGGCCGCCTCCTCGGCCACCACGACCGCCACGTCCACCTTGCCTCTCAAAGGCGTTGGCGGTTCCTTGTGTGCGCTGCTCCAGTGTCTTCTCGTTCGACTCGATGAGACCGGATGCCTTGTCTGACAAGCTGAGCGCGAGGGTCTGTAGTCTTGACAGCTCAACACCCTTCCTGAAGATGATGGCGGAGTTGACTTGGTCGAGAGCGGCAGCGAGCTCCTCGTGTGAAATCATCTTGGAGACGACTGCGGAGACCTTGCGCTCCGACAGCTCGAACATACCCGCCAGTGTGGTGATGGACAGAGTGTCGTAGAAAGGTGCGTATGTGAAGAGATATGTCCGGAGACCCTCTTCCTGGATTTGCGAGGAAAGCATCTCCTTGATCTTCTCCGAGTCGGCCATGAGCTCCCAGATCTTGATCGAGTTGATGAACTCAGCTGCCTTCTTCCATTCACCAGCGGACAGTGCCTTGGACGCCTGCATGACGTGATCGCGGGTGTTCTCAGGAGGACCAGTGAAGATCTGGCGCTCATGGTACTCTAAGAGACGGCGGTAGGTCTTACTGATGACTCGCTTCCTCAGGTCTGGCGAGGAGCCAAGCTGTGCGAGAAGAGGAATCTCGAGCAACATGGAGCAGGTCAGGTAGACGCACTCTAGCAGCTCAAGGTTGATGTGCATGTGGAAAGGGAGTTGCCGTTGACGCTCAAGACGCTCTTGCTCGGGCGAGATCTGGGAGTATCGCTGCATTTGCAGACCTTGTGCGAGCAGCTCCTTCTGCCTGTTGCTACCGCAGATCTCCTGCAGCGAGGTTTGTGCCTCGTAGACGAGACCGGCACGGAACGCGCAGAGACCGACTTGGACCAGCGCGCGGTTGAAGAGAATCTGTGTGTTGACGTCAAAGTTGCTAATGGTCTCTTGCAAATGCGACATGAGCATCATGTCGCGAGCCTTGTAGTACTGGTCGTGCAGAGACAGGAAGTAGATCTGGCACAACATGGCGCGAGCGCGGATGATGCCCTCACTGTTCTGGAAGAGGTATGTGCAAAGAGTTTGTACGAGGGAGGCGGTGTCGTTGGAGATGGCGCGGGGGGTGATCTCGGAGTCAAGGCTCTCTGGGATGGCCTTCCAGACGTTGTTCTCGAGGATAGTGATAACTTGGGAGGGCTATGGACGTTAGCATAGAAAGCAGAAAACGGCATGTTTCTTACCTTGAAGTAGACGTGTTCCAATCTCCGCATAACGATGCGGTTCAATGGCTCTTGTGGAAGTTCTAGGCTTGGGTTCTTCTTCATGCTCTCAACGTATACCAGGGTGCGCACCAGCTGAGCGTACAGCAGAGCCTCGTCGGTCAACCGTTCAATGTACTCGGAAGTGTGTGGGTCGATGTGCTGCAGCGAGCGGGTGAGCTCGTCGTCGAGCCTCTCAACGAAAGAGACGACGCTTCCTGGGATGCGGAAGATCTCGCCGGGTGTGATGGTGGGCAGCTTCTCGTCGTCCTCCCACTCCTCGGCGTTCTCGATGACAACAATCTCGTTGCTGTTCTCAAGAATCTCAAGGAGCTTTCCGAATTCCTGGTCGGCCCTGCGTTGTGTTAGCAAATGG